GTTTGTATGAATCACTTTCATACCTGTTCCATACCTATTGGAACTCTGTTAACAACCCAGACCCTCCAAAATACACTTGAATTCTGTATTTAAGTAAATGTATAAAGTGTTTAATTTTTTATTATGTACCTACCGAAGGCAAGAGCTCAGATATTAGCTATTGGTATAAGATATGGATATTTTCAAATATCAAGTGAACATTTGCCAGTATTATTTCTTGCCTTCATCCACTCATCCTCAAATTTCTACTCTTATCCACATCTGAGCCCTACTGGACAAATGGAAAGCCATAAAACAAATACAGGAAAAATTTCTTAAATATGCACTCTCTTTATATATAATGATGGAAGTATTGTTTTCCAGAAAGAGCAAAAAGAAAGTTAGTAAAATCTAAATTGTTCAATCTGTAAACGATATGTTTATCCTGTCTTCTTGAAAGCTACTACTTACCAATGCCAGTTCTCATCATTTAGAAGCCATTTGGAAATAGCTGTTTTAATTTATCAATTAAAATCTCTTCCAGCAACTTTGCAGTACGTCCAGAAACTTGTCTTCAGGAAGCCAGTCTTGACACAGAGAACTACGAAGGAAGAGGCTGGAAACGGTCTCTGTACCTGCCATGGCCAAATAGTGACAGCTCAGCCTCGATGAAAAGAGCAGAATTGTGTGCTGGGCAGGATGACCAGTGGCTGTGGTCCACAGGGGACTGTCAATTCTGCATTAGAGATGGCCACGATAGTATGCTCTGTCCCATAAAGGCTGGTTTATTCTCACTCAGTTCAGAGACATGAGAGCTTATTAGGGATATGCTGCAGTCAAGGTATAAAAACACCCTGAAGGAGGTTGATTTACTTTAGTAAGAAAAAATAATCTTGTGCTATCCTAAATTAAAGTTTATGGTTTAATCACCACTTGATCCTAGGGCTTTGCTTGTTCAGAAGAACAAACTATATAATCAGTTAGTCCTTTGACACTGTTATTAGCAGTTCTCAGAAATCTGACTTTTTGAAGAAGCAATGCTAAGGAGATGGATACGTTACTAACCCAGAGAACTCTGTGCCTCATAAGCTGGGGGTGAACATCTGAGCTAAAAGGACATGGTGCTGGCTGTCACAATCAACAGCAGATTAAGGGCTGGTATCAGGAAAGCACTTTGGTCCACCCCCAGCTTCCAGCTTGGTCGGCAGCTACTCAGTGTATTTGGGTGCAGTCAGCCATTGTACACGTTCATCATTATTAGCAAGGTGGTCGCACTCAGACACTTAACCTTATTAAGGTCAGGAGAAGAGGAATAGCAGCCTTCCCTCTCGCTTGCCACTATGGGTAGGAAATGTGGGGACAATCCAGTTGCGCAATTGCTGTTGCTACGTTCAGGGCTGGCCTGAGAGGTTTCATGCTGGTCTCACACGACTGGTTTCTAGTGAAGCCCCCAAAAGCTCATGCCTTGCAGGCACATGCAGTACTGGAAATGCACAGAGGCAAGGACATGACCTCCCAGAGCTGTCTGAGGCCATTATCCTTATTTTTGATCTGTGAGACAGCTGGATCTGATGCAATAGGCCCTTGAGTAAGAGAAAAGCTTTTCACCACTGATAAAGTGGTTGAGGACCTAGCTTCAAAGAAGGACCACAAAAAGACACAAGTATTCAGCTACGACTTAGAGCCCTGTCCATGACCTTGTGTGGCACAGTCTCAGGCACTGGAAAGTAGACAAGGGGGAGCAAAACTCATCCAGGGTTATCTGAGCTGCATGGGGAATATCTGATCCTGGGCATTTTACAGAGGAAGTGAGTGATCCCCACACCCAACCAGAGACTTCTTGCCAGTGGGTTGGTACCTCTGCTTACTGCAAACTTGTTTTAAGAGCGTGGCTGGACTGGCGCCAGAGCACTCAACACCTTGCAGAACTGAGCTCACTCTGTATTAAAAATACCATTCAGCTCTTCAATCATTGCTGGAAACAGCAAGGTGAAATCAGGACGTAGATCAACAGGGATGACACGGCGATAGGACAGGCCTGCCAACAAAGGCTCGCTGGGAGGTTGGACCACACTGGAGCTGGTGGTGCAGCATCTGGGCAGCCCCTCGCAACTGCCCGGGGTGCTGCGTGGCAATGGAGCAGGACAGCAGCGTCAGGTCCCTGCTTGCAGCCCTCAAGGGGCTTGCGCTGTGGTGGGAAGAGAGAAACAACTGAGCTGCATGAGATTTCCATGGCCTTCCAAGGAGAGGACTGGGATTGTAGATTTGTGGTGTCAGTGCTATAAATATTCAGTAAAGACTTTAAAAATCATTGTCAAAGCTGCACCTACTGAACTCACAAGACCGTGATAATGTAGAAAAGCAGCAAACAAGCCAACAGCTCCTTCAAAAGCTCTGGTTTTACCACCTTGTTCATAATCACAGTTACAACTCCGAGCAGCACTTTGAAGCAGTCACTAAAATACAGCCAGTGAATAATGACAGTAAATATCTGCTGTTTAGACCAATGTCCAGCCTCTCTAGTCATCTGGCAGGATTACTCTGATCTCACAAATCCCCACGTTCTCACTGCAGGACAGAAGCTCTGTGGAAGGCAGGCTGCCACATCTCTACCTTTCATATTTAGGACAACCATGCGGTTTTAAAACGCATGGTCAGTTTGATACAGGGTGTCACCGGCTCGCACGGCAAACAGCAGCGGGATACACCTGCTCAGCCATCGCTGCTGAGATGTGCACAGCTGCCCATCAGCCCCATCGGCAACAGCCTCTTTTCTTTTTCAGCCCAATACGGTACTGACCATCGGTGCTCTTGTAAACACTGAAATTTGGGTCAATTGGCCTCATGTATGACAACAGACCATAACTTCTGCCCAGAGCTGGAAGAGATCTGTACAACTTTCCACGGGAGTGTTCGCCTCTGTATCTGAATTGAATATTCGGAGTGTTTGCCTCTCCGTTTCCACCTCTGCCTCAGCACCATTTTGGCCCATTGGCTCCGGGTCACTGAGTGCCTCCTCGCACAAAATGGAGGACACCCGCCTATCACACGTGTGGTGCAGCCTCAGATCACACAGCTTAGTTGAATCTTTTCAATAAAAAAAGATCTTTGAGAAGGAGATAGTGTCTTAAAAGTCAAGCCTTTGTCTCATTGACAGATAACCCAACTATATCAGTCATTTTCACAAAGACAATCGCTGGTTTTCCATCATATCTTATATATAAACATATGGATTTTGTTTTAATGAATGCATACAGACAAAAGAGAGAAAGAGCTTTATGAAAAGATACTGACCTGCTTGATAGCAGAAGCTACTTTTAAATTCACACAGATAAATGTACAAATAAAAGACCCAAACCCCTGGTGATCTTTCTCTCCTAAATATTTATTATCCTCTGCCTAGAAAAAGAATTTCCATCTTCTGTTTCCCTGAATATCTGAATTGAAATCTCCGGCAGTTTTCTAATTCCACATAATTTGTGCACATCACAGCAACACTGATTCCTGATCTCATCTGTTTTCCAGAAAGCTGGCTTTCAAACAGTTAGCTACATCAGGTTTTCTCCATAGCAAATCAATTGTTGATAGCTTTGGCTCAGCTTTTGCATGATGACATGCCTCTCAAAAGAAATCACAAAAAATGGCAAGTAGTTGTTAATAGTAAGCCTCTCAAAAATAAATTACAGTTGCCATACCATGTAATTCCTTGCAAAACTCCTTTGAAGTTGGTACTAATCAATGTGAGGAAGATTGGCAAAGTCCAGTCCAGTTCCAATGTAAGTAAGTTTTCTTTTTTTAAAAAAAGACAAATATAACAGAAAAAAAATAGCAAATATAACAGTACACTCATTACAATAACACAAAACTTCATGCAACCTATGTTGTACGACCAGTCCAGGCCAGTCTTAGCAGGTCCATAAACTTTGACAATGATACATTTGTGCAAGGAAGGAAGCAGCACATAGAAGACAAGGGCCAAGTCTAGAGAAAAGCTGTGCTTTCTGAATTCGCAGTGCATAAAGTCTTCTGTATTTTTCACGAATTTATCCAAATACAGTATTTCCTCTTTTCAGGAAAATCTTTGGGAAGCAAATTTCCTAGGACTTCTGGAACCATGTGCCACTGAAAGGATTAATTGAAATGTTCCCCCTATGTTGTGAAGTTACCTCTGAAGAGAAGCCACCTGCCCCTACGATGAAGCTCAAGCCCTGGTGAATGTTCACCATATGTGATGCCAAGCGTACGGTGAGCAGCAGAGATTAAGACAACTGATTAAAATCAATCCAGTTATTGCAGCTTAATGAGTTACTGCTGATTAGCTTGAGTCCTCACGACTGACAACTTTCATTCCTCAACTAAGGCATTTGCAAAGGTAATATGTTAACTTTTACTTGTTTTCATTACATGTCAATATTTATAAACAAATACAAACACTTTAAACAAATACAACCACTTTGTTTCTCATGAGTAATCCCAGGACTGAGTTGTGAATAAAATGCCCTCCATTTAAAATTTTCAAGTAGCTACCGACAAACACATAATTAGTTGAAGGCCATAAACCTTTACCCAGTGCTGCTAGGCATGCTGGTGGCAAATCGAATCTTTTTGTTCCGATCAGTCCGAGAAAACTCGAGACATTTTTTCCCCTTAGTGATTTTAATGCAAAGATTTTATGAGCCTGTGAATGGAATCACAGGAAGCTTGGGCATTTCTCTCAGTAGCCGTCTCAGTTTTCTTCTTGCTTACTGCAGAGGAGCTGAGTTATCAGCACAACTGAGAGTGTTTTATAGGGGTCAGCCTCTGCCTCCAAAGTCAGCTGCGTGCACCGAAAGTGCCTCTAAACACGCATGCGAAATTGCTGCGTATAGATTAGAGAGCAAAAGCCAAGGCTAAGCTTGCACTGAAGACATTCACATTAATGCCACACTGTTTGCTTTTCCCGAACAAGATATTACTGTGGCATGGCCCTGCCTCACAAAGAGAGGAGATGCAGTTCAAGGACTGGCAATAGATACTTTTTTTAAAACATTTTCGCTCTTTTTATTTGTTTTTCCTGATGGTTGCTACAAGCAAAGGAGGTATTCAGAAACGTAACCGCACGATACAAACACGGGCAGCGCACTAAGTTGATGGCATGAAAGGCGTATCTGAGAACACAGAGTTGACAGAATCGGAGTCAGATTTTGTTCGAGTAGTTTTTAAGATACTCTCAGCAATGATATTATCGTTAGGAAACAGTTTTACTTTCCCGTTCTGACTGTGTTTTGGTTCGTGCACGGGTTCCAGGAAAACTACCCGTTTACCAGTACTAGCCTTCTTCTCATCAGCTGGCAGCTCTTGCGGTGAAGTGGAATTCAGTATGGATGAGTGGGCACTGCTTTGGTTCAGCTTCCTCTTCCTCTTTTTCGCCTTACATTGACACGGACAGGGGGTCAGATAGAGATACAGCAGTACTAAAACAATACTGGCTACACAGGCAGCAAGGGTGGTAAAAGCTGTATTAAATGCTTCGTGAGCGTGGGACCTGCTCACTGTGAAATTGCTGACGTTTATTCTAACCTCTATGGTTTCGTTTAAGAGTCTTTTCTTATTTATTGCAATGCAGGAATACAGCCCCGAGTCCTCTAGCTGGGCATCTGTTATTTCCAGGCTGCCGTTACGAAACACCTTAAAGTTGTCGGTCTCCCTGTCTGGCTCCAGCAATCTATTGTCCGGACTAACCCAAACAAAGTGCGTGCCTGCATCGCTGATTCTGCTGTCACAGTGTACAATCAGCCTGTCACCAACCTGGGCGTCGTGAATAAACCCAAAGGCTTGGAAAGAGCTGTTGACGGTGCTTTCGGAGCAATTCAGAGAGTTATCGTGCAGCAAAGGCAGTTTATTGTAACCTCTTGGGTCTGATCGCAACAAACAGGTGTACTCATTTTTGAAGTCCACCACTGAGCCAAAGTGCCTTTGATACCAGAAGATTAGCATGGAATACAGCATACAGTCACAATAAAATGGATTGCCATGAAGATAAATTCCACTAAGATGTTTGGCCGGCACTGAACTCAGGCGCTGAACAGGCATCGACTGGATGTGATTAAAGGAAATGTCCAGCAACACAAGGTCTGTCAGCTTATGTTTTCCAGTGTACAGGTCCAGCGGGAAATGCGAGAGCAAGTTGTAGCTTAAGTACAGTTTCTGCAATTTGTACAATCCTCCGAAGGCTGAAGAGTCTATCTGTGTTATCTGGTTGTTGTACAGCAGGAGAACCTCGAGCGCCCGTAGCTCCTGGAACACAGGGCTGCCCAGCGTCTTCAGGTTGTTGGACGACAAGTCTAGGTACTTCAGATTTGGGGTTGTGGAAAAGCTTCCAGTAATGACGCTGCTAATGCTATTATGATTGATTATTAAAGTGTTCAGTTTCTCAAACAGTGCTGGGACCCATTCAGGCTCCAAAAACCCAATTCTGTTATAACTCAGATCCAGCCTTTTCATACATTTATAAAGATTTCCTGGCACCCGAGAGAGGTTCTTATTGGTGCAGCTTACAATATCACTGGCACAGATGCAGGCTGTCGGACACATCCCTGGGGCACTGCCACACACACTCACTGTGAAGACCAAGAGGCATGCCAGGCCTTTGCAGTTCACCTTAAAAACTCCAAGATGAGTAGGAATTGTCCGCCAGTTTACAGACATTGTCGCTGCCTCTTAGTTGTCTCCCAGTGCTCCTTGCCACAGACTACACCTGCAGTTGGCTTTGCGCTAATCGCTGTGAAAAGAGGGATACAGAGGTACAGCATGTTAACATTTACAATTCATATCCTGCCTGATTTCTTATGCATGCCTTTTGAAAAATACAGGGAATAAATCCCCAATGTTTCATATGGTTAATTATAAAATCTAGGTGTTCTTAGGTGATATAATCTTAACACTGGTTTTAAGTAAACATGAAATTCTGCACTCATGTAAATATTTGTATTACAGATATGATACTTTTTCTCTTCAAAAACAATTCAATTGTTCTTCAGCCTTGGACCAAGCAATGCAATTGCTGACAGTTCATTAAAAAAATGAATCGGAAATGTTCCTCTGTGCAACATGACTGGCAATAGCATCCCCTACCTGTTTCCAAACCAACCCGGGTAGAAAACTCTTGATACAGGAAAGAAAAAGTCTAATTCAAAAATGCTATTTTCTTTTCTAGTGGGGAGCAGTTACAACATGTGTTTCTTCCCAATCAGAAAATGTCACACATTTTCAAGCAAAGAATTTTCTCAGACTACTTAGCTTTAAATGTCATAAGAACGTCTTTCTTTTTTTTTTTTCTTTTCTTCTTTTTTTTTTTTTTTTTTTTAAATTCAGTAACTGATAGTTCAGGTAGCAACAGCCTATTTTTAAAGTTATTCAAGAGGTCCAATCGGAATATTTTGTATTCTACTACTTCTACCTTTGCCAAAATAACTGTTGGGGAGGAAATTTTCTATGCCCGGTGCCTACCTCAGGCACAAGCACAAGTTTTGGGAACTTTCAGTAAGAATGAGTCAGCCATTTCTCAAAACTTAGTGAAAGAAAAAATATTCTGCTCATACTTAAATAGTAAGAGCAAAACCAGCCATACTCTTTTCTAAGAATATTTTATTGTGACTGTGGTTTGAAGCAGCGACATAATATTTGTGCCAAGGGATATGCTTTTTACCATCTTCTAAGACAATATACACATACCTAGCAAGGTAAGGAACATTTCTGTTCACTCTTGCTCTCCCTGGATACCTGCTCAGAGTTTGTCAGTAAATTCCCAGGTAAATCCATATGCATTGATTATCCCTACCCTTTCACAGCTCAAATGCCACATTCAGCTCCCGCGTATTAACCTCATACTAATTTCTTCAATCTCACCCACCCATTGGTTCAGCATCTGAGCAGGACAAACCCCACAATGTCTGCTCTGCGCTGCTGATAGCGGCTATGGCCAGGAGCTGGGAGATTGCCTGTGGGCAGCAGGGAAGAGGAGAAAGAAGCAACCTCAGATGGAAAGAAGTAAAATAAAAGGAGAAGTTGTATTCTCTGATGAGTCAAGATGGATGAAGAAAGGATGAGTCCTGAGTACAAAAACAGTGAAATCAAGACCTAAAGGGTGGAAGACAGCGGGGCAAAGAAGCAAGCAAAGAAGGAGAGACAGGGAAAAGGAGAATAAGAGATGCATAGGGAAGGAAGGGCAAAACCAGGGGAGTAGGATGGTAACGGATCATCGTCATTGTTACTAACGAAGCAACTGAGGAGGAGGTAGTTTGAGGATGCAGAAGTCAGTTAAGGCATATGAGACTGGAAAAAATGGGGAGGACGTAAAGGGCAAGAAGAAGGTTAAGCAGAACAGAGGCAAGAGTTTCAGGAGAAGAACCGTAGAATACACTTCTCTGGAGAATTTGCATCTGCTACTTAAGAATCTAAGATTATTCGTGCAATTAATATATGTGAAATGCACTAATTTCCACTCCCCCTCAGTTCCTTATTGCCCTCCTCTCTAAGCCTCTGCCAATCTGGCAGGCTGCTGTCTTCTGCTGACAAATCTACTCTTAAGTCAAGTGGTAGAGGACGTGCTACGAATTTAAAGAGCTGAACCTTCTAATTAAAAACTTTTCATTAAAAACTAAACCTTTCATTAAACGAAAAAATTTGAAGACAGTAGGATGGGAGAATTCATCTTTCACAAGAATTTATACATACATTGGCTTTAAACATTTGCATTCCCAAAACCTATATTAACAGAATGACAAGACTGCCAAGTCAAGTGCTCAAAAATTAAAGTGTCAGAATTAAGGTTTTCTGTGCCGTTTTAGATTTTTATGTACAGTCTTTAGTTACACAATTGCTTAATTTGTTTCCCCAAAACCTTTCCTCACACTGTGCTCAGGATCTGCGGAAGAACAGAGAGAATGAAGGGCGATTACTTCAAGAGCTCAGTAAATGCCTGTACCTGAGAACTGGAGCATATCTCAGCTCTGCCACAGAATTCCTGTGAGATCAGGCAAATTATGTGAACTGGTGACTGTCATAAAATAAAGAACATATTACAGTCACCAGCTTGACACTTAGAAGATAAGGAACCTCTGTGTATTAAGTTTGGGAAGGACTGATCTCAAGAAGTGCTGAGACGAGAGTCAAAATGCTGAGACTCTAACTGGCACTTCTGACTGTAAAAGCTTCTCCTTCCTTCCCTGTCAATAAAAGGAATATAGCAACATGATCTTAACTATAGTGATATTGCAGAAAAAAATGAATTGATTAGAACAAAAGCTTAGT